CCAGACTCATGGAACTCCCAGAGGTAGGAAGGCCTGCTCCTGGAGTTCTCTCCATGCTGTGGGCTTAACACTTGGACCAGCAGGGTCTGGGCCTTGGTAGGCTCAAAGAAATTTGCTGACAGCAAATCCAGATGGATTGTTAAGTCAGAGGACTGACAGAGGCTCTGAGGTGGAGCCAAGGGACTTAGGCTTCTAGGAATAAGCAGTTCCTTCACTAAAAACTATGAACGTTTTCATTCCTATGACAAAATACTAGGGAAAAATAATTTAAAAGAGAAAGGTATTGCCACGCAACACTGCCCCGTCTGCGCTCTATGTATGTGCTAGAACCCAGTTCGTGAGCTTCGGGTAAGGGGCTGGAGGTTGAGAAAAACACATGCAGAGACAGACTGACACACAGACCTTCAAACACTGATACCAAAGCCCCTCTTTAATAGCACCATGGAGGCTTAAATACATTGCAGTCAATGGCCAACAGGTGAAAATCCCATCCTCTAATCCTCTAAGCTAGGCACAGCTTCTAGTAACTTCAATTAGAAGGTTCTAGCAGGGAAGAGCAGCTGAAAGCCAGGACTCATTAGTCCCAACAGGTATATTTTGGTTCTGGTTTCCAGTAGATTCTGGCTATGTTCTGGCTGGTTCTATTGTTTCTGTCCTGTGTAAAGCACAGCATCATGGCGCAAGGGCATGCTGTAACAGGGCCAATCTCATTATGGTGGCCAGGGATGGGAGAAAGCCAGCCAGCCAGACACACAGAGGGACAGACAGACAGAGACACAGCGAGAGAAAGGGTAAGAGAAAAGGAGATAGGGAGGGATGGAGGAAGGGAGGTGGGGAGGCCAGGGCAAGACACAGCCTCCGGGAACACACCCACACTGACCTATTTCCTCTAGTCAGGCCCTATTCCGAAGTTTCCAGCAACTCCCCCAGGTGAATATAAGCCTGTGGGGACAGCTGATGTTCAAACCATAACATCCCACACTTGGTCCCAAGGATTTGTGGCCATCTCATAATGAAAGAGGCATTTGTTCTACGTTCAAAAGTCCCCAAAGTGTTAACACTCCCAGCATTGCTCAAAAGTTGAAGTCTCAAGTCTCTTCTGAGACTCAAGAACTCTTAGCAGCGGGTAAGAGTTTTAAAACCCAACTAAGCGAGCCATAAAGAACTAGTCACGCACTCTTGAGAGGCCATGCATCAGAGCACACATTCCTGCTCCCAAACGGGAGTTATGGGAAAACGACAGGCAACAACTGGCCCAAGGAAAGGCTGAAAGCCAGCAGCCCGTGCTGATTCCTGTAGCTCTGTGTATGGCACCTGGGACACGCGGTGGCCTGATGCAGGTTCTGAAGACCTGGGGTAGCATCAGCACCCCTACCACCACGCAGGCTGCGGCCCATTTAGCTTCTCTCCTGGGTTGCTTCTGTGTTTGGCCTCCTCAGCTGACGCTACATGCTTCTGGCATCTCCAACTTCCCTGTGGTCTCCCTTGGCAGCCCCACAACGCCAGCCTCATCCCCACCCCCACCCCTACAGTTTCACAAACCGCTCTCTCAGGGGCTGCCTTCAGCAAATCTGGCTCAGCTGCACAATGCCTGCCTTTCTGGGCCATCCTTTGAAAGCTGGGTGGAAGCCTGCATGTCCCTGCCACCCTGCATGTTCTGTACGTCTCAAAGCTAGCACAGCGTGCATGAAACCAGGGTCTGTCAGCCCTTGAATGGTGGCCAGGCCACCTTGGAATGGCAGCAGAGCGCCTGGGTCCTGACCTGGGAACATGCCTTGCAGTGCCTTCTCCTTAAGGGGTAGCCTTTTAGACCCCCTGAAAGTGGGTAGGGTCCTGCCAGTTTCACAGGACACCTTGCGAAGCACCTGCCTTTTCTGTTAGCGTGTGTCAAGCTGTACGCAGTCTGGGTTTCGTTAGGCCATCTCCAGACACACACACACATAACGTGTGGATCATACTCACCGTTCAATACATCCATGGATTTTTTTTAATGGTGTCATTCTCTTTAACAACTATATCCTCTATGTCAACAGCATTAAGTGTGATCCTTTTCAGACCGAACAAGAAGCCTTCCGGACTTCTCTGCCCTTTGCTCCTAACAATCACTATAAACTTGTTTAAAGTCACATTCTGAATGCCAGGGCGCCTTAAAGTGTGTTGTGTCCCCCCCGTACCCCCCCTGTATCCCCTATGTCCCCCTCCCTGTGTCATCCCCCCTGTCCCCCACCCCCAGATTACTCAGTCCGCTGCCTTTAGCCTTAGATTTCCACAGGGTCTCAGGCATGGAAACATGTTGGCAAGTTCTTTGCCACAATGCAACATGATATCATCTAGCCCGGTTCCCCCAAAAACGTTTGTTTCTAAATGAAAGTTCAACAGTATCGCTTGTCTGCATTCCCAGCTCTGTGCTGGTCCTCTGCGCTCCCACCAGAGTCCCTCACTAAACTAAGCTCACAGCCAGGTTCAAGGGCTTCTCTAGCCTGAATCTTCCAATTTCCAAACTTCTGAAATCCAATTGCAAGAGCTTCTCAAGCACGTGTGGGGTAACCGCAGCAGTGACCCCGCTACTCAGGCACCAATATTCTGAGTATTAGTTAGACTTTACATCACTGTGGCAGAATACCCCAGAGGAGCAGCTTAAAGCTTGTTTTGGATCCTGGTGTCTGAGGGTCCAGCATGGGTCAGCTGGTCCAGACCTGGGGTTAGGCAGGGCAGCATGGGAGCCCAGCTGCTCACCTCATGGAGGCCAGGAGGCAGAGAACAGGAGATAGAGGGGGTCAGGGCAATGCATAACCCTCAAGGACATGTAGCACCACCTCCTAAAGTTTCTAGAACCTTCCAAAATAGCACCACCAGCTGGTGGATCAAGTCCTCAACATAAGAGCCTATAAGGCCCATTTCATACACTAGCTTTAGATAGTCCCTAAACTGAGGGTTCTTGGAAGTCAATCCCAGGATGCTTGTGGGAAGGAGGCAGAAGTGTGGAGAAGCTGGTCAGGAGGACCAAAGCAAGGAAAGGGAGCACAGATGAGCAGGTGACCATTGCTGGCCACTAGGTTCATAGGAGGCTTCAGAGCCCAGCCAGAACTGCTTGCTCCAAAGTTGGTCCCATCCAGCATCGGCTTAGGGTCCCTCCTGCAAGATGAGATTCCGATCGTCTCTCACCTAGGAGACCAAGGACTTAAGGAAGGAAGCCCCCCAGGTAACCTAAAATTGTAGGAGGCCTGTGGCCTGGGCCGTGGAGACAAGGCTTAGGGGCTGCTGTGGACTGCCACAGAAAGTCACGTAAAGACTAGTGTATGACACTAACCAATGCAACTCTGGTGCAAACCACACAGACGCTTCAGTCCTTTCTGGACTGTTCTAACAAGGTTGTTGAGTGAGAAGGTCATCATGACCCTGTGTCTCACTCCTGCCAGGCTTGCTCCAGCTGTTCTGGTGACCAGACCCAGCCACTTCATCTCATCTGCATAAGCTTGTGACAGTGCCAGGGGCAGGGGCTCCTGAATGAGACACTTCTAATACAGGGGAAAGCTTAGGATTTAGAGCAGCCCCTCCCACTCCCGTCAAATTGTTTATTTCCTAACAGGGTCTAGTGGGCAGTCAAGCTGACCCCCGTTCTCAGCTGTGCCTTGGTTAGGGACACTGAAGTCAACAATATCACTAGAGGAGGGGAGGGCCAAGACAGCTCCCCTGTTTGGCACAAGGACCTAAGGGTCTACAGGAAGCATTGTTAGGCCTGCACATCCAGGGCCCCCTTTGAGTGTGGAACTGTTGTAGGCTTTGCCTCTGCAGGGACCCTTCTGGCCCGTCTGTGCCCTGAGATCGTGGTCCCAGCCAAGCTCTCTACACACAGCCCTGCAGACATGGCCATGACTGCTCTCCTCTCTGAACCTAGGTGTGCAGGGGCAGTACGCGTCTGCTTCTGCCTGGGATCTTAATTCTGACTCTAAGCATCCATACCCCAGGGCTGGCAGAAGAGTCAACTTTGGAAATGTTCAGGCTCTTCACCCTATTGCCCTTGGTGTCTCACCATGGTTTTATAGTCTTATGTGATACCAGGCAAAGCTCAACAGGGTTTGGTCTTGGTAATAATCCTCTTCTTCATATAGGCCACAGTTCCCAGTCTTCTGGGGACTAGAATGTTCCAGAATTCATCCCTTTTTGGATTTAGAAGGTAACATAGATTGCCCATTCCATAGCACCCAGAAGGAACCTGGCAGCATCCTGGACTTACGTGCCCACATTTCCACACAATAAGAGGACATGCCCCTGTGGGCAGCAGTGGTATCTGTGAGTTCAAGCCAAGTCATGTCTGTGGCCAAATGAGTTCTAGAAAAACTCCCAGGTTTCAGAACTCCTGGGAATTGTAAAACACAGTGCAGGAAATTGGAGTCAGCCTGGTATGGTGACTTAGACCTGTAACAGCAGCCAGGAAGCCAAAGCAGGAAGACTGTGAGTTCAAGGCCAACCTGGGCTCCTCGGTGAGCTCTAGGCCAGCTTGGACTACATAGCAAGGTCCTATCCAGTCAGTAGTTTCCATTTGTTTGATCCTACTGTTGCTAGCCAGGTGCTGTGACGTTGCTATTTTACAGCTGAGAAAAGTGAGACATGGACCCCGTCAGCCACGCTAGCCCCGACAGCACACATGCCAGAGTGCTGGCCTGAGCCTCTGCCTGCACCCACATGGGCCTTTCTAGTCCAGGGCACACTGCTGTTGGGGAAGACATGGGAAGGGAGAATGGGGCTGGGAACTTCGGCCCCTGTGGTCTTGCCACTCTGATGGAGACTCCCGTCCAGTGCGCAAATGTTCCGTGTGAGTGGCACATGTTAACATAGCCATCGGGTGTACCTCAGCAGGCAGTGCAGCGGCCAGGGTAAACTTGGGGACGTGTGTCCCACAGCTCATGGTTACCATGGAGAAGAATACATGGCATTCAAGGAAAGCCAGAATCTGTTTTTTTTTTTTTTTATGGAAGAGTCTCCTTACTTTTAATTATAAAAAAATGTTTTTAAAACAACTTTATTAAGGTATAATTTACATACCATCATCTTTTCCCGTGTAAAACATGGAATTTTAAGGTAATTTTTAGTAGGCATCGTGATAGTCTAATTCAAAAACATTTCCACTAGCCTTAAATAAATCCCAAACCCAGGAGCAGTTACTCTCCGCTTCCAATCCTGGGTGACCATTGCTCACTTTTCTTCCCCGTAATCTAGCCTCGTCTCCACATTTCCTAGAAATGGATCACGAGATCTATTGCCTTTTATGAGTAATCTGTTTGAGATTTATCCATATTGCAGCAGGGACTAGACTCATATTCCTTTTCATTGCTGGCTAAGTGCTTATTGTATAGACATACCACCTTTTCTTCACAGACTCCGCAGGTAAAGGGGGCGGGGCTGTCTCTGCCTTTGAACTGCTGGAGTAATGATGCTAAGAACATTGTAAGAAAGTGTTTCTGTGGGCACATTTTGTTTCTCTTGATCCTGGGAGAGGCTGGGTCACAAGGCTGAGTCACATGCTTTTAACCCCTGTGCTAGTCAAGGAGACATCACCCCAGACCCTCAGCCCAGTCTCCTGCCCTGCAGGTCAGACCTCCCTCTTTCCATGCTTAGAACTAACCCAGTGTCCCATCTCTCCACCCTCACCCCAGCAGAATATGCTCCGCCAGTTCAGGCTTTGAAGATGGGAAGAAACAGGAAGCATTTTGCCAGAGGGTTCCGTTTCCCCCTGACCTCCTTGGGGATGGGGAGTGGTCAGAGTCCAGAGCCTGTTGAACAAAAACAAAGGAAAAGATACAGATCAGTACCTGGCCATCTCCGGACCTCTCTCTGTCTTGGTTGTTTGACTGAAGGTGGGGATCTATCACCAGCTCTGTGTGCTACTCAAGTTCTAGTCCCTCAAGAGATGTCACAGGGTACCCAACTGAGTTTGCCCTTGGCCTCATTTAATCATCTTGGACCTATGATTCTCGTGGATGTTTACTCCTATGGTAGAATAAGACCTAAGCTTCTCAGCAGGGACACAGCCCTTTGCTGCCCTCTCAGCCCCACCTCCTGTCTCTTGGCGCTCTCTTTGCTCCACACTGGGAGCTTGGCCCTGGTTAGTCTATCCTGTCCAGTCATTTTCTCGCTACTCTGCTGTAGCTCACTTCCCCTCCCCTCCCCTCCCGGGGAGGTTCTGTGGGCTGGAGAAGAGGGACGAGAAGCATGGAGGAGGGGGCTGTGATGGGACTGGGTGTATGGTCCAGGTGTTAGGAACACGGAGGGGCCCCTGCCCGGCTCCTGGACTGTAAGGCTGGAGACAGAAATAGTGGTGGGAAACAACACCATTTTTTTTTAGGTCTCTGCAGAGCAAGGATTGGGGAATCCAAGGAAAGGAGAGGGAAGGCCTAAGCGACAAGGAGACAGAGGAAGATGGTGGCCAGGCCCACTATGACAGAAAGACACAACTGTACAGAGGGAGACACAAGCACAGAGAAGGGGAGACAGAGCTGTGGAAGAAAGGGAGCGGGAGGGAGACGGGCAGGGCACAGTCACATAGGTTCATTTCTCCCGCTGCCACGCAAAGTGAGTCCCAAGACAAGGCCCATCTTCCCATCTTCTCAAGAGGCAGGATCAGGTCTGCCTAGACCACGAAAGACCCTGTCTCACAATAAAAACCATAAACATAAAAAGAAGACTGGAGGATGCAGTGGTGGAGTGTATGTCTTGTGTGGGCACGACCCTGGGTTGCATCCCTAGTGTACTGAAGAAGTGAGCCCTAGACCCTCCCCCAAGCCCCTTTGCACTGCAACCCTGAGAGCCTTCTTTGTGTGGTTCCTTGTCCCAAATGGCAGCTCCTCACCCAGATACTTGTTCTTAGCTTCCTAGGGTGAGTGCAAGGGGGTATATGGAGGCAGGGACCCACCTGGGTCAGAGTTCCTGGAAGCAGTCCCTTTCACTCCCTACCCCCAGGTAAACAGGTTGGTTTCCTCATATGTTCATGGTTCCAAGCTCCCTTCCTTTTTGAAGCCATTGGGAAGGCCAAGCCACAGGGGCTATGCTTATCCCTTCACACTGGAGCTTAAATGTTACCAGTAGCCTGGAAGGAAACGTGGGCATGTGGATGTGCTGGGATATTGCAGGATGACAGCCAAGGACAGTGGCCAAGGAGCTGATGGCACCACGGTACACCTCCTATCAAATTCTCTATCTTCCTTCAGCTCCATCTGAGCCTTCGCTACAGGGCAACTCACTCAGCTCAAGAGGAAAGTGTTGCCTGCATAGATGGAAGCTAGAATAAAAAGACCATACACTGAGCTCCAGAGGCTGCAAAAAGCCCAGGTTCATGACACTGGCAGCTCGGATGCCTGCTGAGGGCTTCCTGGCTTATAAAATCCACCTTCTAGCTACATCCTCGTGGTTTGGCAGCACCACACAGCTCCCTGCCATCTAGTCTCAGAAGGGCATTAATCCCCATGTGAGGGCTCCACCCCCATGACCTAATCGCTTTCCAAGGCCTCCCTTCTGATCCTGACTCCCAGCATCTTGGCGTGTGAATTTGGTCGGGATATAGCCTCAGGCCACAACAGCTGCCAGGAGGATGGAAACCCAGTGAGGCCAGACTTTCAGACTCTTTACAAGAGAAGCCAAAACTCCCATATTTTAATGGAAATCCTCCAGTTTTTAAATGTTGGCCAAAAGCCTCATCCGTTCTCCTGGCTTTCACCAACACCTGCAGGTTGGATTCAGCCCTCCGGCTGCCAGCTTCTACCATGGCTGCACGCGTTTCTATTTCTGTATATGTAATGATTGATTTTACTTCGAGTTATGTCCTTCTCCTCCTTAGCCTCAGGGAACAGCCGTGCCAGGCCTCCTGCGGCTGCCCCCATGCCTGGCATTTAGATGATGCTGCATGCTAGTGCAGAGAGTGTGGTAGCGGTTCCAAGCATGCTACAGCACCCTGGGGGAATCCGAAGGTTCTCGAGGGAGCAGCCGGCAAGTGTGAGAATCCTGGCTGCAGGACAGGCAGCTCCTGGTCATTTGTGATTTAAATTCCACCACCTCCTTTGCTCAGGCCTGTAAGCCAGGGACTGTGCAGGCCACCAGGCCATTTATACAGATGAGCCTGGCCACAGGCACAGGGCCAGGGAGAGGCTGGCCTTTCGGGGATTGGAAGAGCTAAGGATTTTAACACGTTTAATAAAAACGGAAAGTAAAACCCGAGCTGGCGGAACGGCTGGTTTCTATCAGTTTTAATGGACTTAAAGGACTGGTGGAGCAAAGGATGCTGGGAGCTCAGAGGCAATGTGCCAGGAGTCTGGAGGCAGGCCTGGGAGACCCAGGCGTCAGCCCCAGGTCTTATCCACCTTCTTCTGAGTGGCCAGAAATCTCTCTAGGATTAGGCCTAGAGGAAGGGCTTAAGTAGGAAGCTAGTTGGGAAACTGAGGTCAAAACTCCTTGGCAGAGGAAAAAGTCAGGCTTATGGAATCCCTTAGACATACATGAAAGCCATACTCTAGTGTGTCCAGGAGAGTTTGCACTGCTTGTGCCCGATCCAAGAGGGACTCAATTAACCCCAGGCATCCTATATCCTGTCTCCCCAGCAGTGCGCCCAGTCTTTTGGCATGATACTCCCCCCTCCATCTTTAGAGATGAGGAAAAGCAAGTTCAGAGAGATCAGCTAGCCTAAGTCACACAGTTGTGGGTGGGAAAGCCAGACCCAGAGCCCCGCAGTGTCCACCCCGAGCTTGCCCACTGCCCAAGTTTGTGTTTATCCCACCTCTCCTCCCCACTGCCCTGAGCCTTTGTTCCCGCATCCCTTCTACTAGGAAGGGGATGGCATGAGCTTCCCTAGGACCCAGTCACTGATGGGGTACGCACTGGACACTTTCTACTAAGGAAAATCGTCCAATAATCACTCTGTGGTCGGCTCTCAGGATGATGGCTTCAACCCCAGGATGGTCACTACACAGTGTTCAGAGCCTAGTGACATGGCCTAGTGACATGATGGGTAAGGTCAGAGACCACTAGTCACAGAGAAGGATGACGGTGTCCTGGAGTGACAGGACAGAGACACAGAGACAGAGAGACATACACAGAGTCATAGAGAAAACCTAAAGAGACATAGAGAGTCTTGGGCTGAGAGACAGACATGGTGCTAAGCCCCGTTACCAATGCCAGCCCAGTGTGGTTGCCTCTAGTCCACACTTCCCACCCCTATACTCCTCACCCTGTGTAACAGCTGCTGCCTTCCCCAGGGCTGGAAAGGCTCCTGGGTTCCTGGTCAAATGGACAGAGCAGCCAGAGGCTGGACCCAGGTTGTGCTGGTGTAGGACCTCCTTAACAAGGTGACCAGAAGGCAGAGTAAAGGCTGACCCCCAGTGCCTACGAGTCCAGTTAGAAAGACATGCTCAGTGGCCCAGGCCAGAGGCCAGCTGACAATTAGGCCAGGAGCCTAATGTCCCACAACACAGGGCCACTAAAATCAAGGTTGGGAGGAAGCAAGGACTCTGGGACCATGCTCACCATGGTTAGGAGCCCAGGGATTTATGAGAGTGATACCATCTCAGCCCCCGGCACCAGGCAGCCGAGCTGGATCCAAATCTGAGGAAGCTCAGGAATGCATACGGCAGCTGCTGAGCCCCTGGTGGTGGCTGTGTTTGCTTACCTCTGTGTCTCTGGCACCTCGGGAACCATTGAGAGCCAACCTCTCTGAGTCTGTCGGGTGAGAAGATTGCTGGCCTACGTAGCTGTCTGTGCGTGTGGGTGGATCCTTCCTGTGGCTAGTGTACAGCCACCAGGGAGCTGGGTCCTAGCCTCATAGGCAGAAGTTGCGCGCTTTCCTGGGAGCCATCCCCAGGGGCTTGTGGCCTTCATCCTTGCTGCTAGAGCCTTCTGGGCTCTTGTTTTCTGGCTTAAGATTAGCTTGAGGTCCAAGCTGCTGAGCCTTATTTGATCTGAGGCAGAGTGGTAGTTTTCTGAAGGTCACCATGTAATTTTATCTCATGATACATTGCCTGGTGGTAGCTGCAGGTGCAGAGAGGAGAGATGACAGCTGCCCTTGAGAAGATTCAGTCCAGATGGTGATCTTGGCTTTTGAAGACACGGCCGAGAACAGCAGAGAAAGGCTATTGTAGGTGGGGGTTGAGGGTGTGGTAGGGTCTCTGCCCTATGGGTCTCTGACTGTGCTAAGGTTGTAATGTTTCCACTGCGGTTTTGCTTTACTTTTCCACACTCACTAAATGACTGTGGCTGTCTCTCAGAAACCTGCTCTCCACTCTTGGGCCATGTTGATCACATCCCACCCCTATCCCATAGTCTGGTCAATCCAAACATCCCAGTTCCACCTCTACCATGCTTGATTCATGGGTAAACATATAGTGTTCAGCTGTGAGATATCTGAGACGTTCTGTTGGGACCCGCAGCTGTAAGCTTGGAGCTGGTGGGGTCACCATAAGAAGAAAACCTTCCTGAAGCTTCAGGAGACCCAGACTTCCCTCCTGCTCATTCCAACACCTAGCTCATGCTACTCATGTGCACAGCTCACATGCGTTCAGTGTCTTGAGCTATTGTAGCGTCTCTCACCTCAGTTACACCTGTGTCATCACCTGTGACCATGACAATTCTAACAGGGCTGGGATGGCTTACCACAGAGTACCAAGTCCTTGGTGAGGGGCAGTTTGGAGGCTCTTCTTCATGGAGCCACCAAATCCTGGGCTTGTAACTGTTTTACTACCACATTTTGAAGAGTTTGGACTTTCTGATTATCATATCAGAACCACAAGGTTCCTGTGAACTGGGTAAGCCTTTCTTGGGTCAGCCTGTGCCTCTGAGATATTAGTGGCCCAATCAGCAAATGCTGAAGCTGTACAAAGAAATCTGAATTGTATTAAATGCAACCGGGTTAAATTCAGCAACAGAAAGAGCTCTTGGGTCATGGATAAAATCAAGTCAATTCAATAATGCAAGAAGTATGTTCTAAGAGAGGTAGAAATGTGGATGAGAGAAGAATGGGTAAGGAGACACCTAGAAAACAGGAACAAAAGTGATCTGGACAAGCAGGTTTCTTATCTGACTAAATAGAATTTAAGACCAAAAGAAAAATCATAAGGGTCAAGGAAGGAAATGATAGATATAAAAGAGTAACAAACTGAGAAAGCATTTATTCATTGTAATTATGCAACTACCTGGCAATACTGGCTTCAAAGTGCTAAGCAGTTGCTTATCATGATGCCCTAGCATCATAAAATAGAGATGACAATTAAATACAACTCAAAACAAAAAACAGCTGAATCTCATGAAGAAATAGATAAACCCCTAGTTGTAGTCAGAGGTCTTTACCATGCTCAGAAACAGGGAAACAGAAGACTCAAAGAAAGCAATTTGTAAGCTAGAATTACTAAGTATAAAGAGAATTATATTTCCTAGTCCCAAGTAAAGCCCTGGAGAACAATATAGCATTTTAGTAACTCATAGAACATGAACAAATGTGTTGAGATCTGAGCCCAACTTACTCAGTTTTCCAAAGCTGTGTATCATTCTTCCTTGTATGGATGAGCACATGTGTATGTGCATGTATGTATACATGTGTGTGTTTTATGTGTGTTCATGTGAATTCTTATAGATACCAGGACCACCAGCTCGGGGTATCCCCATTCACAATGTTCTGGGCCCTCCACATCAATCTCTGGTTAAGCAAATATCCTACAGGTTTTCCTCCAACCCTGTTTTATGGAGACATTTTCTCAATTGGGGTTCTCTCCTCTCAGATGGCTCTAGTTTATGTCAGGTTGAAATAAAACAAGCCAGGACACCATCCCTCTGGTTTGATCACCGTGGAGGCTATCAAGAGCTCCCTGGGATGTTGGTTTCCATGGCTCAAAGATCTCATATCCATGGCCTAGTCCAAAGCCCATGGAACACAGTCTCCAATGCCCTAGCCATGAAGTGTGTGAAGTTACTGAGACAGAAGTAAGCAGCAAGATGTGGCCATTAGGGAAGAACCTCTCTAGAGTGAGGACAGAAGGTGCAAAGATCCCGAGTCAGACATGAGCCTTGGGTAGTCTAGGGGTGTTGTTGGATATTTTTCACTCTTTATATCTTTGGGGGACTTGCCACCCAGCTCCCAAATAAATCACACATAGAGGCTTATTATTACTTATAAATGCCCAGCCTTAGCTTGGCTTGTTTCTTGCCAGCTTTTCTTAATTTAAATTATCCCATCTAACTCTTGCTTCTGGGCTTTTTCCTTTTCTTACTTCTGTAATCTGACTTTTGCTCTTCCTCCATGGCTGACTGTGTGGCCGGCTCCTGCTTCTCACTCCTTGATCTCTTTTTTCTCTTTTTCTCCTTCTATTTTTTCTCTCTGACTACCAGCCCCACCTATCCTTGCTCCTGCCTCGCTATTGGCCGCTCAGCTCTTTATTAGACCAATCAGGTGTTCAATGCAGGCAAAGTAACAGCTTCACAGAGTTAAACAAATGTGACATAAAAGAATGCAACACATCTTTACATCATTAAACAAATGTTCCACAGCATAAACAAATGTAACACACCTTAAAACCATATTCCACAACATAGAGGTAACAAAGAGGATAGAGGGGTGAGAACTAAGATCAAGGGTGACTACATACCTCTCCATTGTCATCGCTTAGACAGCCCCTCATGGTGGATTTTTAGGGGTTTCCATCCTTGACTACATATCTGCCCGTGGTGAAATGAATCTCAGGGCTTGTTCCAAGAGTTGGGGCTGCTAACTCTAAGGAAGCAATGTCACCTTTACAGTAATCACCAAAGTCTCCTCTGCAGGGGCAGCCCCTGTGCTGGCCATGTAAGGGTCCTTCCTGTCCCTTCCCTCTATCTCCACCTGGTCATTCCTCCCTCCCTGAGAAGCCATTTGTCTTCCCGGACCTGCCTTCCCTCATCCCACCCCATCCCTCCAGACAGATGCCTGTATGGCCAGGGAGTCCAAGAGCCCTCAGAAATCTTGAAGGACATGTCCCTTGATGGCGACTCTCTACTCAGGGACATTTTTCATATATAGCCTCTGCAGCCTGCTGTCCCAGAAGCTGCAAACTCCCCAGCAGCTACTTTGAGACAAGAAGTAGGCACAGGCTAGACCACCATTTGTCCTTGGGAAGGTGGCCGCTGGTAGAATCTGACACAGGACAGAAGATGGCTTGCTTAGAAGGGAGGGCTCCTATCTCCTAGGCTCCTGACTCTGGGTAGAGCCAAGTATGCGACACTATAAGACTTCCATAGGCCTGGGGTGGGGAGGGCACGTCTGAAAATTGTCCCCTGGGACATGGTTAGTGTTTGAGATTGGCTGACTGAATAAGTGAGCAACCGGGCTGTGATGGAATGGAAAAACATCTGGACTTGGGGTGGAACAGGCCCCTGCTCAGATACACTGTTGCTTTTGTTGTGCTGCCCCGAGCACCGTGTTTTCCTCTCTGAGAATTTACTCTAATCTATCTAGGAGCCTGTGGCCAGCTCGGATTGTCTGGGCCAAGGCAAGAACAGTGCAGGATGGCTGGAGTGTTTTGCAAACTGTAAAGTGCTTGAGAATTGAGGCTGTTATCTTAGGCTCTCTGGGGTGTGCTGCAAGACAGCAGCCTGTCCCCTGGCTCTCCTCGCGTGCAGCAGTTTCCTGAGCAGAAGCTCAGAGCAGGACATGATGTTCAGCTGATGCCAGGGATAGAGCGGTGGGAGGGCCAGCAGGGAGGCTGGGCTGCTGTGGGCAGGGCTGATAATGTATCAGTCCTCAGCCTGTTGTGGGCTTGTCCGTGTGTGTGCGGCACTCTCGTGACCAAAATGGGGCAACAGGAGAGACTCTAGCGCAGAGCTGCAAATGGGAACAATCTCTGGCTTGTTTGTCTTGTGAACAGATGAGCTAGAAGGCTTGGAGGGTGGAGGAGACCGATGTGGGGTGGGAGCTAGCTAGCGAGAGGGAAGAAGCAGAGAGAATCAAAGGGACATTCAGAGAGGAAGAACAGAGATAGACATGAAAGGGGCAGCACAGGCCAGGGTGACAGATGTAGAGACTGATGAGAAAGTATGGGTGGGAGCCTGGGCAGGGTCCCACACAGGTCCCAGAGCCCCTTGGGCCTGTCGGGTGGCAGTTCCAGGAGCCTGCGTTCTCTTGTTTTGTTTTTGTTTGGAAGACAAAATCTTGCCATACAGCCCAGGTTGACCTCAAACCCAAGAGTCTCCTGCCTCTGCCTCTTAGGTGCCACCATGGCAGGTGTGAACCACCATAACGTGGTTCAAGTGTCCATGGTCTACAAAGTCAAGCCACCCCAGCCACCCCCTTCCTCCGGTGGCCAGTCAAAAGAAGTGTAGCCCCTAAGAAGGCTGAAGGAAAGCCTGAACTTCCCAGCAAGGAGGTTTGCCCTCTAGGTGTTCAGTCTCGGCCTTCCCAGGCTTGTCACCTGCAGGTCACACTTCTAGAGCGTGCCTCCCTATTACTAGAGGGCTGCTGCAGCCCTTGCTTCTCCAGTGCCACTCGCCCCCTTTCCCCAGACATTCCCCCCGCCACAACTGTCACCATTGCCACAGGCCAAACTAGTTTTTATTGACTTAGCATTTTTGTCTAAGTCACTCAGTTTCAATGTAACTGAGAATTACTCAGAAAGGAAACCCCAGATCACTATGGGAAATAAAAAGCCGGTACTACTGGCAGTAGAGAGAAGATGATGGCACTAGCCATTGTCACTGAAAACTGGTGCTGCGTGTGACATTGGGAGACTGCCCTGTGAATGATTCTGTTCCCTTCCCGCCCTCCTCTAGGACACTGAGCAATGTCTGAAGACATAGTTATACCTGCAGTGTGTTTGTGTGTGTGTGTGTGTGTGTGTGATATGCATGTGCTTTTGCACGTGTGTGTGCATGTGTTAACACCCTGCATCTAACAGGGAGAACTGCTATACTCGGGACAGCCCCACAGCCCAGGGTTATCCATCACTAAATGTGTGTAGTGTTGAGGTTTCCATATCCCAGTCCATAATCAGCAGGCTCCAAGCAGGTGTGCACATGCTTGGGACAGTAC